TAGTTCATTTTGCCATTTCAAGTTTGGTTGTATTCCCACGTATTCCGATGTATTTAATCATTTATCAGGACCCCTATTGAAATCAGCCTTGCTGAAGGGGCAAATCCTGTATAAATATAGGTAAATAAATAAAGCAAAACAAGAACGTAGTTCCCTTACGCGACGTTCCAGGGAGGACATAACACATGCGACGATTTTTTCCCCTTCTCAACTAGAGTGCGTTCCCCAGCAATTCATTTCCAGGGAAATTCAGCTATATTTGGCATTTGAGTCGGAATAAAAATTTTAAAATTTTAAAAAAAGACGAAGTAATATTGATGTTTGGTTTCAGTCGGCGTTTTCGTTACTAAAGCTCCATACTACCTTCTAATGGCAATCGAGCGTGCGACCTGCCAGTGTGGTGACCAGTGCTCTCTTGAGCTAGCCCTGCATCATCTTCCATTTCCACTTAAGGTCTCAAATGTAAGCTAACTCAAAGTGGATATAACTTTAAATCTGTATTTTGATTCTGAATCTGATTCTTTGATTACCTGATTTTGTGCAGCACCCAACCAGTCCAACTATATTGAGGTGAGGTGCCATAGTCTTCATAAGCTCCAACTCATCTAGAAACTCCTTCCTTTGCTGCTGATCTGCGTTTTCTGATGTAAAGGAGACAGTTAAAATTGTATGGGTAACACAGTTAGAGAAAGCAAACAAATTCACAACAGACAATCAATATATACTACTACAAACTAACGCTCTTATAAAAAAGGTTCTTGTAAAAAAGAGTGTACTATAGTTAGGCTATAGTTAGACCAACCTTTTAGCATCTTGACAGCAACAATTTGGGTGCCTTGTTTGGTCTTCAGAAACCCCTTCATAACTTTACCAAAGTGACCGGATCCCAAAGCCTTATCCAGGCGGACATTTCTCTTCGGAACTTCCCACTGTTTTGGTCGCGGGATGGAAGCGTACTCGCCCCCGATCCCCATCGCCATAGCTGAAGCCGCATCAGGCCTTATGGAGACGTAAGAGTAGGTGTCCTGTCTGCCCCGTGGTATCCCTGTGGCTTCATCATACATGCCATTGCGTTTGTTATTTTCAGAATTCTAAAAGGAGTAATTTTAAACGCCATTCTTGTGGTTCAATTTTATTAATTGGTTTAAATTTTACATCCCTTTGTTTTTGGTAATGGTAAAGTATGACATAGAAGTTGAAGTTGAGAAATAAAATTTCAACCAAGAATAAAATTCAGCCGCAACATTTAAAGTGTCATACAGTTAACAAGAAGGTATCATATTAAATAGTCGTTTACGCCTTTCTTGTGGCCATCAGAGTTCATGGAGCAGTCAGCAGTTTTTAATACTTCAGCTAGTGTTTTTGTGGTATCTGTTTCTACGAAATTTGCCATAGAAACCGTTCCAGATAATTTATTAGATGTAGGAGCGATTCCTATGCCTGAATAAAACAGTAGTGCCTTTACCTTTGACGGATACGCGAAACGAACTATTTTCATTCGTAATTTGCTTCTAGATGCAAAATCTTTTTCAGTCACAAAAGTGTCCGAAAATCCATAATGAGCGAAAATGTGAAGTTTTATTGAGAAAAATGTTAACTCCCCCCGGCCCCAACCCCCCCCCCCTCGCCTTTGATCACCCTATTGGCTAAAACACGTCCAATTGCACCTGAGGTACAGAAATAGCAAGTTACAAAAAGAAACAGGAATAAAATATTGTTCATGCGCAAAACAAAAATGCTTTTACGTTACCCGTGATCGTGAGTTTTACAGGTTCTTACACCGAGGATGAGCCACATTTTCCTCGGGAAAGTAATTGAATTTATAGAAAAAAGTGTCTGGCGTAGACAAGTACTTTTCAACACCTACTAAAGAAATCAACTACTTTTCAAGGACCTAAACCGAATTCAACGACTTTTCAAGACGACTATTAAAGTTCAAGACCTTTTCAAGATTGTACGAACCATGCAATTTCTGCTAAGTTGAGGGAGGAAACTTTACCAACAAAAAATTACTGATTCGAGCAGCGTTCTGACCGAAATACGTTAGGAAGTTGGGTTTGTAGAAATTATTGCATCCAAAATTCAAGACTCTTTGCAGACATTTCCAAAACAATAACTTTTCCCAGACTCAAGATTATCTAATAGGTGACCGACAGCAACCTTGAAAACGCAGAAACAAAGCTTTTCTCTTTATGCGCTGCAAACATACGAGCGAGATTGACCAAGACTCGACCAGAACGAAAAAAGTTTCACTTCTAAAGCACTTGTTGTAGCTTTGAAAACAAAAAAGAACTTACGACTTTTTACCATTTTTCCAGACTTTTTTCAGGTCTAGAAAATTGCTGGGCAAATTTCAAGACTTTTTCAAGAATCCAAGACTTTGTATGAATGTTAAAGCAAGTCATAGTGATATTCCGTTCATCAAACATCAGAAACAAAAATTCAATCATATTGTCTACTGTAACTTTAAATTTCAGGGCCTTTGAAGACGATAAAGTGGACTGTATGCTGGATGAAGAAATAATCTCCTGAATTTGTTTGAATCTTTCATAAACTTTTCCTGACACACCACACAGAAAAAGAAAGTCCTTTTCTCAATCTGATGAAAAGCAGTTTAAAGCTCATAAATAAAATGGTAAAACCGTGTACAGTGGCGCCTTTTTGTCTGCTTTACTTTGCAATAGAACATTTAAATAGTGATCAACAAAAACAAAACATGCACCACCTAATATTCTCCTTTTAATTAAGAAAAAAACGTATAAAATGTAACAAAGGAAATAATTGAAGAACTTACAAAAATTTTAAAATTACTACTAACAAAGCAATCAATTTAAAATTAAATAAAATGTTATCTCAAAAGAGAAAAAGAATATATATACATCTAAACATGATGATATACCGGAATATTTGTACAAAAGGGAGCATAAATTTACCTTAGATTTACATTTGTATAAAAACCTGATCGGTGAGCTTAGCATACTCATCTCTCATGGTCAAAGTAAAACCAAGAATAAATCAAAGGAGAAATTAAAGGGTCAAAATTCAAACACCGAGATTATTAAACCTTATTTACAAGTTGACTTTATCATCTTTGCACGCAACTCATTTTAGCTCAAACAATTTTTGACGTGCTTTAAAGAATAGCTTCTTTATTACAGCGTCTATGTAACTGAAGAATTCTGGGACGTTACCATTTACATAAAACCACCCAGGAGGAAATCTTGTGCATAAGCAAAAAACTGTACAATTTGGCGTGGTGGGAGTACGACCCGCTACAAAATATATCCAAGTTTACTGAACAGACTAAAAAGAGCGGAAAAATTGCATCGCCTCAAACCGCAGCCCATAATTTCTGAAGCTTCCCAAACGGGATGGCGTGAACCATTGGACTTTCCAACCAACATTTCCGGCTTCTCCATATAAATGGTCAGTAGCTCTGGTCAATCCGGGTACGAATAGGTTGAATCACGACAGCAACGCCAGATGACACATAATTAACCTCAACTGGATACAGTCAAGACAGGGTTCTGCGATCGGAGTCACAAATGATTTCTACTTTCTAAAAATGCCTCCGCCTATTTCCCCAGAAACAATACTTCCTCTTCATACATAGAAACGTCCACTCTCCGATAAGGTGAGACGAAGATCAAGTTGCAGGGCCTTGACGTTGTCGATATCACCTGCCACTGTGCTTTGTGGTTTCTTCAAAGCTCAAGCTCCTTCGTTGCGTTTATGTAGCTTCGATCATAATTGTCCAAATCAATGGACAGCTGAAATCACAAAAATAAATGAGGATAAGCGATAAACAGGCTTTTTGATTTGGGCCTTGCATGCACACGCAACTTTACGCGTGCACAAGCCACACGAACGGCGTTAAATTTTTTATTCATTCATTAATTCATTAATTCATTTACTCATTTACTAATACAGCAACCCCTAAAAAAGAGGATTATTAGCCGGTGTGGTAAAAATAAAAAAATAAAAAAAACGAAACAAAAAAAAAACTTTTCACATTACTTCGGTACGAAAGGGCAGCCTACCTTTCAAATGTTTCATCGTAGCTAACTTAAATTCAGGTTCGCCAAAATTGGTAATAAATAGAAAAGGACGGAAAAAATGACAACGACACTGAAGCTGATAGAAGGTCAACTGCTTAACAGATATGCGTCAGTTGGTAGGGCACCGAACGGTAACGGAGGGGTTACAGGTTCGAAACTCGCTAAAAACCCTTTTGGCTCAGGTTTTATTTCATAGTCAGGACCGTAGCCAGTATGAGCAAACCCGAGGCACTTGCCTCAGTCATTTAAGGTTTGATCCCAGTGATTTGTTTAAACAAAGTCATCATAAATAGCTAGGCGGGGACTTCAATCTTGAATATTGCCTCAGTCCTTATTTTTTTCTGGCTACGGCTCTAACAGTTGCTTAAGTGGGCTGTTCGAGTTGTTCCAAACCAACTTGACACGACAATTTTATACTCTGATACGATGCAATAAAAATTTATTGTTTACACGAAAGGTTTTGCACTTTAAAAAGTAATGTATACCAACCGTCTGTGCAGTCATCAGTCTGTGGAGTGTTTTTCCTAACTCCAGGAATGTTGGTCTAGATGCAGGGTCTTGTTGCCAACACTGCCACATGATGGCATATCTAGAGAAAAATTATTAAAAATGAAATGACGAAACTTCATTTGCTTAATTTTTATCAACAACTTCTTCAACTCAAACTCGTTAAGACAAACCAAAGGATATCCCTTCAGGAGAAAAGTTAAAAGGCGTCTTAAAAACCCTACATCTAAGATACTCACAACTCATCGGAACAGAATTTTGGTTTCGGCATCCTGTACCCTGAACGCAGCTCTTCAATCAACTGATCTCGACCTAAAGCTGGGTATGGATGAGCTCCTGAAATAATAAGAACAAAAAACAAGTCTAATTGCGGGCGAAAAACGGGCGACAAGAGGAGCCCGCAATCCTAATCTCCAGGTTGTTATTACGCATGCGCGGCATGAATGTACCTGGCATTTGTTTGGACTTCCACTAAGAATGAATGGAATGCACAGAGCGCCACTTGACCACGCACGTTTGGACCTTCTATCACTCGTAATCTGATCACACCTGTTTTGACTACCTGTCACGTGAAACTCACGCAAAGCAGAGCGATGGAGCAAAAGCGTTTTGACCTTCGATCGTTGTCGCCCGCACTCCGTAACCTTCGGTTAATACTAGTTAGAAAGATAAAAAACTCGCACTGGTGTGTAAGAAGAAAATAGCCGGTAACCAGGTACCCCGTCGGGTACAGAGCAAATAAAAATGAACTTCTCGACGAGCAGAAGGCAAGAAAAAAATCTTATCGACGTCACAAACTACTTTGATTGAAACAGAAAACCATCTTGAAATTCTGTGCTGTGAATTTCGCTCCTTTTTTCTATGTCTGGTTAGATTCAGTGTTTTCTGGGGTGTTTCTTGGTGTTGCGCAAACTATTGTTGGTTAGCTATTGTTTTGAATTGGATGTTCATTCTTACCTAACGTCACAATTTCCCATAACAGAATACCAAAAGACCACCTAGAAAACAAAAGTTGGGCTCAAGTTTAAAATCAAAGACTGTAAAATAGTTTGCATTTTGCTTTAGTTTACATACACCTTATTCGATGGTTTAGCATATAATGCGTGTGGATATTTTGCGAGTTGCGTGGTATTTTTCCGAGCTCCGCAGGGTCGAGGAAAATACGAGCAATGAGCAAAATGTCCGCTCGTATTATATGCTAAACCATCGAATAAGAGGTTTATTATTCCACTACAAAAAAACTTTTATTTTGCAATTGGCCTCTATTTTTTGGTAAGAGTATTCACGGAACATGCTGATCCCGTCTGTGAAAATGACGTTAACAATGAGCAAAATGTTCGCGCGTATTATATGCCAAACCTTTGAATGAGAGGTTAATTATTTTACTGCAAAAGAAAAATGTTATTTTA